AGGGCCCCCGGGTGGGGGGCGCCGGTCCGCCGGCGAGGGTCCCGCGCGCGTTCCCGGGCCTCTGGGCGCACCCGAGGCGCGGAGCCCCGGGCCTTTCCCCCGCAGCGCTCGTCTCCGGTGCTGGCCGGAGGAAGGAGTCGCCATGGACCCTGGGGGCAGAGGTGAGAATTTAGGAGTGATGGGGCCGCGGTGCCCGCTGGAGAGAAAGACGAGGAGGAAGGATGCCCTCCGGCCGGGGCGGGCTCGGGACGAGAAGCATCACGCCCTCTCTGGGAGACAGCCCCTTCCCACCGCTTGGTTTCCCCTTGAGGTTTTGAGGCAGAACCTGCTGCCTCCATTGCCCTGCTAGTCGGTAGGGTGGCGGATGCCTCCCTTGCCCCCCCAAATCAACAGATCTGGCAATTGGCTTTTGATAGTGACTTTCTTTTGTCCTCACAGGAACGCTATAAGGCAGAAGAAGGAGACTCTTTGACCCATTTGGCAAATAGGGAAAGCGACAATTCGAGAAGTCATGTCGTTGTGCAGAATCTCATTTTAGTTCTTTTGGGGAGGTGGGGTGGGGAGGAAGTGTTGTTTCTCCACAAGACACAGCACTTTTCCGAGACAGACCGTATTGTATCTGAAAAGCTAGTGTTCAAAAAGAATTTAGTTTTCATTCATCCTGTGACCCTGGAATACAACAGAGATGAATCGAGTGAGGTACAGATTGACACACAGAGACTTTGAGTATTATTTTGACTACACAGCAGATGATAGACAGAAATATGTTTCCATTTATGTGTCCAGATTATCATAGCAGAGTTCTACTGGAGTGTAAGGGCAGAGAAGGATAGAAGGAACCTGAGCCAACAATGGTCCCAACTGTCTTGATTCAAGGATGTTGTGGGGTTGTCCCTTGTTTCCCTGTGCTGACTCTTCTTAGGTGACGGGTAGCTGGTGTATGGTAGTTTCTGTGAGATTACTGCAAGGCTAGAGTAGTCATTATGGCTCCTGTCTCCACTTCTAGGATCACTCTCTGAGGACTCAGACCTACCCGGTGCTGGAAATCCAAAAGAAAAAGGCGTGACTGCCGTGACGGCTGTGCTGCTGACCCCTGGGACCCAGGTAAGTTTAGATTTCTTCTTTTTTTTTTTTTTTCCCCTTCAAGTCTTAGAGGATTCCATTGTTATGGAATTGCCCAGCCCTGATTCCTAGTTTACTGGGTTCATCCTGATAAACTGATGAGTCAGGAACCTCACAGAAGATGCTCCTCATTTGTGCAGAACTTTCTTTCCCAGCATTGCTGCTTCTCTACCCACTAAGTACTTGCTGCACACTCCGTAGCCAGTCAGTACTGTAATTGGCCTTGTGGTGAGATGCAGACTAGCAAAAGCCACTTGCCCCTGCCTCATGGAGATAAGCAAAATAGTTAAGCATCATAAAAAATATGTGTATTTTTTAATTTTTAAAAATTTTTTTAAAGATCCGAACCCGTGGCCTTGGTGTCATCAGCACCACATTCTCCTCAGTGAGCCACAGGCCAGCCCAAAAATAGATATATATTTTGTAAATGCAGAAATAACTGGTGCAGACAAGTCATGAAAGCCCCCAGAAGAGGTTTTCCATTATCTACAGTATTGAGAAAGGTTTGGAATAAAAGTTGCACTTTGGAAAACAATGGACAATACAGGAATATTCCAAGAAAGAGAACAGCTTTGGCAAAAAAAGAATAAAAGAGTCTCTAAGTAATGGGAGAGTTGGAGGTCTTCAAAGAGTGTGTGAATCACCGTGGGGCGAGCTGGAGTGTGGTGAGGGGAACTTGGGTGTGTTGTACCCAGACCACAGAACAATCTACACTGGGTCTAATACAAAAGGCAAATAGCTCCCATGAAGGTTTTTAGAGGCCCAGCAAGATGAAACATGCCACAACTGATTGGATAGAGAAGATTAATAAAGATGCGGCTGTAGGATCTGGCCAGGACACCTGGAGATTGGCAAACCCTTTGGTACAGGTGCTGGAACTGCTGGTCTACATCAGACCAGGCCGCATGGCATACAGGTACTGATGATCCATGTAAAGTGATGGAGAAAACACCAGTATTGATTTAGATCTGTGAATCTCAGGTGGCTTTCACAGGGAAGAGGGGAGAGAAAGGCTGTAGCATCTGCTGGACAGCATCTGATTGGTCTGCCTGTGCCTTCCAGCCCCAGCACATGTGCATTTGAATGAGTTTGACTGCTGCGATTTTCTCAGGAAACTGAAGTCTGAAAGGAACTGCCAGTTAGTCTGTTAGTGTTAGCATTGTTTGTAAAGAAAGAAGACTGTAGAAATTATATTACTTATGTTGATCACTCCTGAGGCATATAGCCTTAAGCCTCAACTTAAATAAAAAGTATAAGATTTCATACTTCAAGCGTTAGAATAAAGAGTTTATTATGGGCAGGGGATTTTCCATACGTAGTTCTTTAAACTTTATTTCATTATGTGCATTGTTTTATCAGTTGTTTTTGGATCGTTATATCATATACCTTAGAATGCTGAATATAAACAAAATTAAGCATTATATTCATGTATGTGTTTAGAGGGCTGTGGTAAAAGTGATAGTTCAAAGACCATAGTTCAAAGATTAATTCATTTGCTAGCAACCCAGGGACTGGTCTATTTTAATGTGTCTCAATTGAATTGTAGTGGTACAGAAATTTTAAAAATAGGATTAGAAAAATTATTAGACATTTGTCTTATCAGCAGTAAACGGATTCAAAGGAGTATTACCTGCCCTGCTCCCTCCCCACATTTCAGTAGACAAACTAAACTTTGTGCCTATCATCTAGATTAAGGTTAGGCTAGAGTAAACACTCGTGCAATGTTTTCAATCTTTGTTACACTTCTGTTCCCCTTCCCACCTCTGTTCCCATGCACCCCTGTTCCCATATACACTTGTTTCTACTAATTCTGTTCATTCATACCTTCCTTCATTCAACTATGCAACAAATATTTACACAGTTCCTGCTCTGTGCCAGGTACTGCATCCATGAGCAAAACAGACCTGCCCTCTGCTCTTGTGGAGCTTACAGTCTAATGGGACAGACAGACATTAATCACAACGTTCCCTCAATGTGTTTAATCCAGGAGAAGGGAACGAGAATGGTGCTGCAGCCAGAGAGTCAGGAAAGGCTGAGGTGAGACCTGAAGTGTGAGTAGGATTCAAATAGCTGAGAGGATGGCATAGGGGGAGAACATTCAGAAACAGGAAACAGCATGTATAAAGGAACAAAAGGGAACGTGGCACACATTTCAAACAGCTGAAAAGTGGCCACCAACTGGAGCGTAGAGAATGTGGGAAGAGTGTATAATGAGGTAGAGAGTAGATGTGAGGAGGACCAGATCGATCAGGGCCATTGTAACAAATGACAAGAACACTTTGGAAACTTTCAGAATAATTTGGGCTTGAGTGAATCTATATTCTGGGACATGTGTAGTAAACATCTTAATTTTTAATATATATTGGACTGAGTTTATTCTGAAAGGAAAACTAGACAGAATACTTCATATTTCTTGAACCTCATATTTTAAAAACCATACCATAAAGAAAATATGTAATTCATAATTATATTATCTCCCTTTTCCCGTATATAAATAGTAAGGAATTTTGTAGTTCCAAACTTAATTTATTGATATAAAACTAATAGCTTTGTACCTTTAGATTTTACATTGAAGGTGCTTTCCTTCCAACTCGCAGGTAACATGCAGTTCTGATGCATGGAGGCAAAGAGTGAATCTGTGGACTACAGATGCACCAGAGAGTCTTAATGTTGGAAGGGACATTAGAGGTCATTTCCTATCCTTCCTTCTCCTAGGATGTTAGCTTTAGTCCTTCCCAGAGGCCTGTGAAAGGACATCCGTTGGTGAGCACTGATGTCTTTGGTTTTTTCAGGAATCATTGATGATCAGGGACATGGCTGAGGCTCTCACCCAATGGGGACAGGTGAACCCTCCTCAGGGAGATGTGCCTGGGAAGCATAGGAATCTGGTCTTGTTGGGTAAGGATGGCTCTCCCTCCTGCTGTGAATTTACCCAGTGTGGTACCTTTGCCTCCTCAGTTCCTAGGAGCTCTGAGGTCCTTAGATTCAAAGATTCTTAATTTCTGTACGGCCCGAGACAGGCCATTTCTGCTTCTTATATGTGAATATAATTTTAACACTCCCAGAATTAGGAATGGGCACCTTTATTGTATGGACCTGTAGCATCTTTCCTCTCTACTCCTTGACCAAGGATGTTGATACAAAGTTCTAGTGAAAACAACTCTTAAGAGAATGGGTGCTTGTTCTCTTAATAGGGAAAGGTAAAAACAAGCATCTTAATTTTTCTGAGCTCTATTAAACCTCATATCAATCTTCCTACCTTTCTCTGAGCACTTCTGAGGAAGAAACCTAGAACTGATCTCACTCTTTCTCATACTGTCTTCCCTCAAGACCAAGGAGCTAGCACTGAGCTTTCTAGCAGACTCCTTTTTCTTTCCCCATGAACAGGGCTTCCAATCTCCAAGCCTGATGTAATCTCTCAGTTGGACTGTGGGGAGGAGTTGGAGAGAGGAATTTCAAAAGCAGCCAGTCCAGGTAAGTGAGTATTGGAAACAATGTAAATAAGATCCAGATGGTCAGTGGAAATGCCTGTAAAGGAGCCTTTCCAGATTTTGCTAGACCTATGGAAAAGTTGGAGTGAGGTCCCAATCTCTCCTGTGCCACACTCCAGCTCTGTAAATGATCTCTTTATAAAGTCATAATTTGATTTTTTTAGAGAGTAAATACTCCACCCTTTTAAACCAATTCTTTTTCCCAAATAAGGTGAAATAAAACTGACATTTTAATGTTTGTTAATAACTTACTTGGGTGCAAGGATGTAAACTAGGCATTTTCACATGTTGTTTTATCTCTGCCAGATAATGCTATTGTTTGAGTCTCAGACCAATGACTATAAATTGATCTCTGGGTTTTCCCTTGCTTTCCTCTCTACTCAAGCAGAGAAAACATACCATGGTGGTTAAGAGAGCAACCAGTCTTCCTGTGTTCCAAGCCAATCTTAGCTACTTACTAGCTCTATGACTTTTAACAAGTGACTTATCCTCTCTGTGACTCAAATCCCCAACTGTAAAATGGGGATAGTACAGCCCTTGATCCATAGGGTTGTGAGGATCAAATGAAATCCATGAGAAATGTTTAGAACAGTACCTAGCTATATGCTGAGCAAAAGATAGCTACTGATTAAGTCCCGGTAACTTTTTCTTTAAGATGTCATGGATTTGACCCTATTACTTCCGTCAAACTGTATTACTGCAGTAGACTATGAGCTAGCTGTATTTTATTTAACCTTATCCTTGTGTGATCGAGGCAGCATAATACTGCTAGATTCCCCGGTCAGTTGCTTACTTTGTCAGTGCCATATTCCTCTACCTGGTTTCAAGGCTTTTTTTAGTTTACCCGTCTAACTTTTTTGCCTTCTCTGTTCTCCAACTTGAACCCTTAACACCAGCCAGGCAAGTCCCTTATTATCCTCCACTAACCATGTGTTCTCTATGAACATTTGAGGATTTAATTCTTCTACTTCTGTTAGCTGGAAGTCCATTCACCTTTAACCTATTTCTACATATTTGACCTTTAAAATCCCAAGCACTTCCCTGTGTATGATAGGGAAGTTTAGGACATTGTATCATATTGATTCATTTAATGTAAGTCATGGTTGGATTGGATATTAAATATCATCTAAGCCTAGAAATATTTAAGCATTTTAGCAATGAAGGTTTTCCCACCAAACTCTTACCAGGAAGCCCAGGATCTTGGAGAAGGTATCCTGACAGGTTGGGGACCAATCTGAGCACATGGAGCTTTGACCTTCCCTTCCCAACACAGTGCTGTTTTTCTTTTTCTTTCCTTCTTTCTTTCTTTCCTTCCTTCCTTCCTTCCTTCCTTCCTTCCTTCCTTCC